CAAAGGATTCATCTGCCTCAGCAGATCTTTTTGGCATAGCAAATTGCAAATGTAGTCCAGGAGGGCAGAAACGGCAAAGGATCAAAGCCACTTCTTTCGCTCAAATGCTTCTGTGCAACGATTCAAGAAAGAATTCGTGCTCTTATTCTATGATCCTGTCGGCTCTAAACAGTGAGGGCAAGTCTTAAGGAAGCACCAGTGCAGGTTGAACTTCTAAGCAAGTTTGCTTGGAAATAACCTGCAAAGCTAGAACATTCTTCCAGGTATGTGTCTGGAATGATGTGTACAAATGATCCACAAGTCAGTGCAACGCATGGACTTTAGAGCACCTCAGAGACAGCGACTGTAAATGGGGGTGGAAGCAGCCACGGCATCAAATATTAGGGCCAGGTCTTCCGACTGTACGGTGGCCGTGGACGGGCTCCAAAGCTTCCACAAGCCCTGGAGCCACCCCCAAAGTGGGCCAGGCGGGCCAGGTTCTCCTGGTGGTGGGGAAGCTGACTCAGGGGAAACTGCTAAAATGTTGCCTCATCCACACATTGTTTCCTTAAAGGGTGTTTAGAACGAGTCACTTTCGTTTTGAAGAAAATGTTGCAGCAGCAAACACCTGAGCTACAAAGTATTCCACCTCCCCTGAGGGCCCATCTCAGCTCCGCTGCTGATGGGCCCCTCTCTGGCAAGTTTTTGCTCTGGAAAGTACTTCAGAGGGGACAGCTGGCACCAAGTTCCAAAAATAAAAAAGCATGAATGATCTTAACACAAATTAAAAGCATGAATGATCTCTTGTTTTGGGCAATGAAAAGCTTTCCTTTAAAAGGACATTGGATTTAAGTTCTTCAAGAGAATCCTTTTCAAACAATTCAGTAGTATGACTAAGGAAATACAACTCCCTAGCCTTATTTTTATGCTTTTTTTCTCCCACTGTTTTTTGATGTATAAAAATAAAATGCTACTTACTAGATATCATATGCCAAGGTTCTAGATTTGGCAAAACATGGAAACCTTCATTCAGTCACTCCAGCACTCTCATTTCTATTGTATTATATTCTTGAAAAAGTGCACCGACTATTCTGCAGAAATGTCCTTTGATATAAAAGTAGGAAAATGGCTTAAGAAGCTGGTCTGTTTGGGACCATGGCGCTCGTTTCCCATGCAAGCAAGTGATGCTCGAGGTGCAGCAGCAAAGAATTAGTCCTCAAACTATGGCCCGCGGGACAGATCTGGCCCGCCATGGCCATCCATCCAGCGTGCGCCGCCATTCACTGCCCGTGCATGCGCTCGCTGCACAGGCGGGGAGGTGGTGGCTTGCTCGCTCGGAGATGGTCTCCGAGCCAGCAAGCCACTGCCGCGCGTGCCCGATGCCGCCTCGCGCGAGCCCAACGGCACTTCACTGTGCTCCCAGGCACCCCCACCCCACCGGCCCACGCATGTAGCCGAGGCCTTTCAACTGGCCCCCTACCGAAAAAGTTGGAGGGCCCCTGAATTAGACCCTACCTGGGAAGAGCAATGCCTGGCATGCAAGCTGGATTCTGGAAAGAAGAGGCACTCAAGATTGCACTGCAAATCTGCGTTGGCAACTGGAGTGCACCAAAGAATTTCAGAAGAAGCTCAGTCTATGCTTCCTAGACTACAGCAAAGCATTTGACTGTGTGGAACACAGGAATCCATGGGTGGTCCTGAAAGAAAAGGGGATACCTCAGCCCTTGGTTGTCTTGATGCATAACCCATATGGTGGACAAGAAGCTACTGTTACGGCAGAATATGGAGAAACTGAATGGTTTCCTATAGGAAAGGGGTCAGACAAAGGTGTATTTTACTTCCCTATCTGTTCAGTCTGTACACAGACATTGCATAAGGAAAGCTGGAACAGGATCAAAGAAAGGAGTGAGCACTGGCGGTCCACACATCAATGGATTTAAGATATGCAGAAAGTGGCAAAGGGCTGAAACTGATGAAAGTGAAAGAAGAAAATGCAAAAGCAGGACTGCAGCTAAACATAAAAAACAAAAATCACGCGTACAGAAGAACTGCAGAACTACACCGTCAACAAGAAAAATGGAAATTGCAAATGATTTTGCATACCTTGGCTCAGTCATCAATTGAGTGCAGCCAAGACATCTGAACATTGGAGGGGCAGCAATGAAGGAACTAGAACAGATTCTGGGGTGAGGACGTTTCACCGCAGACCAAGGCCAATGCCATTCGCACTCTTGTACTTCCAATCAGTGTGTATGGATATGAAAGCTGAGCAGTGAAGGACATGATGGTTTGCAACATGGTGTTGGAGGAGCGCCTTGCAAAGGGAAACAAGTGGGTCAAATGAAGCCAGAGGTTTCCCAAGAAGCAAAAATGACAAAACTGACGCTGTTGCACTTCGTGAGGAGGCAAGATGCTGTGGAAAAGACAATCATGCTAGAGCAAGGGAAAGGAAGGAAGAAGGAAGGCCCAGCCACGAGACAGATCGAGTCCATAAAGGATGCTGCGCAGCGCCATGAGGGCCAGGAGGGCTTTCATCCATAGGGTTCCCACAAGTCAGAGATGACTTGGTCTCACATAGCAACATTAACCAGGGGCAGCTTGAACCTGAAGAATAAAAATTTTTCCTGATGACCAAACAAGGGCCAGTTACTTAGGGTTCTATCAGAGACGCTAGAGGGTCGGAAATATGAAACCAACCTCCGTCGAGGACCGAATCTGTAAAGATAAGCCTGGTGGAAGATGTTCGGACACCAGATGCCCTGAAAGGAAGAGCAGGTCAAGATAACCACGCAACAGAAGCCACTGAAAGTTTCCTGCTATGAAGTTTTCTGTTATTAATCATCACAAAAAGCTAAACAAATGAATTCACTGTGCATGAATGAATTCACTCTATATTGATTGTTTCCACTGACAATAAAAGTGTTTTAATATGTAAAACAATTTGCTGGTGTTGCCCGTCTCTCTCACAGGCAGACAACAAACAAGAGGGACTTTACTTCGCCCACAACGTACCTGAGTCCTGGGCCCAAGCCAAGCCCTCCAGAGACTTCACCCGTTCCCCAGACCTCCTCCTCCTCCATCCATCCAAGGTTTGGGGGCTTCCTGGATGTTGTACCATTTTTTTTCCTAACGGGCCAAAGTGCTTCTGCTACAGCTTCCTCACTGCCAGGGCGGGAGAGTGGGGCACGTCTTGGCCTGCCTCTTGGGCCCAGCACTAGCACAGCGTTCCTGGGAGCCTCTCCAAAGCCGAGCTTGGCCCACGGGATGAGAGGGGCTCACCCGCAGCAGCTCCTTCCAGGGAGGACTCTTCCCAGGCAGCACCGCGGGCATCCCGGATGGGACCTGCCCCCCCACCCCGTGGAAACCAGGCACTTGCCAGCCCCACGCAACTCACGGGGCACCTCGAGCCGGGCCTGAACGACTTTGGCCTGCCAAGAGTGGCCTTCCTTCTTCCAAGAATTCTTGCTGCCCTCGATGTATACAAGTTTGAACAGCAACAGCAGGTAAGGCTAAAATTAATATTAATATCTATCTATCAATCTATCTATCTATTAATTTGTGTTTTTTGCATGCTGTCCCAATGACTAACAAAGTCTCTGGGCAGCTTAAAAGAGCAAACCGAAAAACAGAACCCATAACAACACCCCTCCCCCACAAATTGCACTGCATCCGAAATAGGAATGAAAAACAAGAATGAACGCAGATTTATTATAAAAATACTGGGAAAATAAAAATGTATTAAGGGAGCCCATTGCTTGCCGGATCAAACCAAGAGCCGACCAGTCAGGCATGCTTTGCGAGGATTCCGGGTCCCGGGACTAGAAATTGGGAGAGGTTCCACGCCTTTTTCTTGAGGGCGAAGGAAGCAATTTTGAGCTGCGGTTTCTGAAACACGTCAGCGGTGCCACGAGGCAGCCTCTTCGAAGGAAGACACAAATGTCAGAACGCCCCTGCCACTGGCCCTTGTGCAGGCGGCCACTTCAGCATTTTTGTGCTGAATAAGCAGCATTCCGACTTTTGAGAAACGAACGAACGAACATCTCCATTCTTATTGATATACCAGCACGGTGTACAGTAATTTTAAATAAAAACCAGGGCAAGACACTCACATATTCTGTGTATTTCAGCTAAAGTGGTGAAGAAGCAAGGCGAAACAAATGTGTGAAGCAAAGTTTTAGCTGCCCCCTTCCCCCAGCGGAGCAACAGCCGCCCGGACAATTCCCGCAGTGCCCACCGAGGCCGGCCCGCCCCGAGGCGGAGCGCGGCAGCCACCCAAGGGCAGGCCGGGATGCTGCGAGGGGGCAGCCGGTGGGGGAGCTTTACCACCAGGGCTTCCGCCTCGGCTGCCCGGAGAACTGGGCTCAGCTAATTTACTTTGTTGAGGATTTAGATCATATTATATTGTAAGCCCTCCAGAGACAACAGTGATGGACAGCCTATAAATGTCCTAAATAAAATAAATAAAAAGAAATCAACGTTGGGTGCCCCTCTACTCCTGGCCTGGGTGGGTCGCTGGGTAGGGCCATAGGATCTTCTGCCCAGCCAGCCCTGGGTCGGTGGGAGAGATGAGAGCAGGAGGAGCCCTGCCGGCTCAGACCAGTTAGCCCAGTGTCCAGTCCCCAGCAGCCAGGAAGCTCAGGAGCAGAATGTGAGAGGCATCCCAGCCACCCAGCGACTGGCCCCCTCCGCTCACGGCCGCTACGTAGCCACGCTGCTCACAGCTCTGAGTGCACACCTCAGTCTCTTTTCACAAAGCCACCTAAGCCAGAGGCAATCACCGCACACTGCGGCTATAAATTCCGCCAGCTGACGATAGCCGGCTCGGACGCGTGTGGCCGCACTGGATCCTGCATCCTACTGTAACAACCAAGGAAGGAAAATCACAGCAGCAGTGCAGCTCCGGGTGCCTCACCCTGCTCCATTCAGCCACCCCCTGATCATCTGTCCTGAAGCAAGACTCACACACCTTTGCTCCCCCGCCCCCCGAAGGACCCTCGCCCTCGGTCGAAAAGCTCGCTTACCACCAGAATGGCATTGAAGTGGTCCCTCTTGACCTTCTGCACCTGAATGCAGGACGCCGGCACCGGCAGCAAGCCTGCCCCCTTGGGCGGGTTGCCGACCTCTCCGCTGGGCACCGAGTTGTTATTGCTGGGCCCGATGCCCAGCGCCGCCCTGTACAGGTAGGTGTGTGTGAGCTTCCCCATGCCTGCGATCTCGACCATCTCTGGCGTGAAATGGGAGCTCGGGAGCATGTGGACATTGTAGCGGTACTTCTCATACTCGTCCATGGGGCAGCAGCAGCAGCAGCAGCAGCTGCGGGACGGGCTAGTCCTGCAGTGAAAAAGCCGGATGGCAAGAAGGAAGATTAGAAAGCCCAGGAAGACAAAGGAAAGGCAGGCCAGAGCAATGATCAGGTAGAAATTCAAGCTGGACAGCTGCTGCCCCCGAGCCTCCAAGCTGTCGTCGAAGTCCGGGAGGGCCTGAGGGAGGGAGTCTGCCAGCAGGATGCCCAGGGTCACAGAGGACGAGAGCGGGGGCTGCCCACTGTCCTTCACTAAGACCACCACTTTGTGCTTGACGGGGTCACTAGACCTCATGGCACGAGAAGTCCTGAGTTCTCCGGCATTGGGAGAAACCCTAAACAAACTGGTGTCGGAGGACTGCAGGAGGTGGTAAGAGAGCCAGGCGTTCTGGCCACTGTCTGGGTCATGGGCTACCACCTTGGTCACCAGGTAGTCAGCATCTGCCAGGCGGGGCACAATTTCCACAGCCACCGAGCCGTTTCTCATCGCTGGGTACAAGATGACCGGGGCGTTGTCGTTCTGGTCCAGGATGGTGATGCTGACAAGGAAGGCTGCGGCCAGGGCCGGGGAGCCGTGGTCCTGGGCCTCGACCTGGAAATGGAAGCTCTGGAGCTGCTCAAAGTCAAAGACGCCCTTTGCATAGACGATGCCACTGCCCGCGTCGATGGCCAGGTAGCTGGACAGGGCGCTGCCCTGGATGTCGATATCCCTGAGTAGATAAGAGACCCGGCCGTTCTCCCCCAGGTCTGGGTCGGAGGCCGACACGCGGAAGAGGGATGCCCCGGGCCTGTTGTTCTCCGTGATGGACACTTCACGCATCTGGTTGAGGAACTTGGGGGGATTGTCGTTCACGTCCGCGACCTGCACCCGCAGCACCCTCTGTGTGGCCATGGGAGGGGAGCCCAGGTCCGAGGCCGTGACAGTGATGTTATACTCACTGACCCGCTCACGGTCGAGAAGGCCACTGGTGACCAGACTGTAGTAGCTGTCGAAAGAGGACTTGAGCTGGAAGGGGAGATTGGTGGGGAGCTGGCAGATGACTTTCCCGTTCTCGCCCGGGTCTTCGTCTGTGATACTCAGGAGCGCGATTACGGTGCCCAGCGAGGAGTCCTCTGGGATCGGGCTGGAGAGAGAGGTGAGCGTGATCTCGGGGGCGTTGTTGTTCACATCCGTTATTTCGACCAGCAGTTTGGCCACACTGGACATGCCAAAGACGCCCTTGTCCTTCGCCTCAACAAACATCTCCAGCAGCGGCTTCTGGACGTTGAGCACTCCACTGACCCGGACCTCTCCAGTCTGGGGGTGGATGTAGAAGATCTTCCGGAGCTCGGCCGGGGTGCTGTTGCTGAAGGCATACCGCACCTCTCCGTTCTGGCCCTCGTCCAAGTCCGTGGCGTGCACCTGTGTGACCAGCGTGCCGTTGGGGGAGTTCTCCGAGACGCTGGCCCTGTAGACGGAGTGCTCGAAGACGGGGGCGTTGTCGTTGGTGTCGAGGACGGTGACCACCACCTGGGCACTCCCGGAGCGCTGGGGGCTGCCCCCGTCTTTGGCCGTGATGGCCAGCCGGTGCGTGGCTTGCTGCTCGCGGTCCAGGGGCCTCTCCAGCACCAGCTCCGGGTACCTGCTCCCATCCCCGCGCGTCTGCATCTCGAGGCGGAAGTGGTCGTGGGGGCTGAGGGCGTAGCTCTGGATGCTGTTGACGCCCTCGTCCGGGTCCTGGGCGTTGGGCAGGGTGAAGCGCGCCCCCGGGGCCAGGAACTCGGCCACGCTGAGGTGATACTCGTCCAGCGGGAAGGCGGGGGCGTTGTCGTTCACGTCCAGGACGCGCAGCTGCAGCTTGTACAGCTCCAGCGGGTTCTCCAGCACCAGCTCGTAGCTGAGCGAGCAGGCGGGCTTCAGCGCGCAGATCTGCTCGCGGTCGACGGGCTCGCTCACGGACAAAGCGCCCGTGCTGGCGTTCAGGCTGAAGTAGGGCTTGCCGGCGCCGCCGATCATACGCAGCCGTCGGGCGGGCAGCGCCGCCGCCTCGATGCCCAGGTCTCGCGCGGGGTTCCCGACGGGCGCGCCGCGCGCCGTCTCCTCGGGGATGGAGTACTCGACCTGCCCGGCCACGGAGCAGAACACGAGGCAGCACACCATCGCCGGGAGCCGCATCCTTCCTCCGCCCGTGCCGCGTCAGCAGCGCAGCGCATACCCCGCGCGGGGCGCGGCGCGGCGCGGCGGCGGCGGCGGGCCGGGAGCCGCCCGCT